GTTATATAAGTGTTCATGTCTTTAGTTCATAGTGTTTCTACGAGTCATCTACGACTCATTGGCACTTAACAATAACAACACATTCATGAACAGGGTACATTTTATTCCATTTATTTGGGTCTTTTATTGTGTCTCATAGAAACATTCCATCGTTTTCTTTGTAAAGGTCTTTTGTGTCTCTGATTACGTTCACTTATTGATTTTGTAAGTCACTAAGTAAATTGGAAGGGCTTGGAGAGTATAATGCTAAGTGAACAAACTCAATCCCATAAGGACAAATACTGTATAAGAGAATTATTGCACAAACAGATAACTAGTACAATGTGTATGAGGATATAAGGCGGGAAGAGAAGGCAGAAACAGGGGAATGAGGATGGGCAGGCAGGGTGTCATACAATTTGATTGTTGTTAGAAGGAAGGGTGAAAAGCAATATATACACACTTTGTAATTAAACCAGTATAAATGAAAAAAATTCTTAATATATTTTTATTCATTTATTGTTGCACATTTTCTTCCTTCCCCTTCCCTACTGCCTCTCCCAGCCCACTTTGCGGTATATCTCTTGTTCCATATTATTGTCATACATATAATAACTAATCATGACAGAAGAAGAAGAGATGCCTTCAAGTTGTGATGCTGAAGAAGAGTCTTAAATACACCATAGACTGCCATGAAAATAAATAGGTCTGTCTTAAACATGGTGAAACCAAGTCTGTCCTTGGAGACTAGGATTTTGAAGCTCCGCCTCACTTACTTTAGGCACATGGCCAGGAGAGATAATCCTTGGAGAAGGACATCATGCTCGGAAGGGTGGAGGGACAGTGCAGGAGCGGGAGACGCTGGATGAGATGGATTGAAACAGTAACTGGGGTGCTGGGGGTTGGTGTGTCGGAATTAGTGAGATTGGCTCATGAAACGGAAGGGTTCAGAGCTGCTGTACATAGTGTTGCTATGCATTGCAGGCCACTCAACCAATAGCATTCTGTGACAGGTTTGGAAGCAAGAGTGGTAGCCACTTCCTAAACAACATGCCTCCAGAAACTTTATGAACTTTGAAAAATGTCAATAATTGTAGAAGGGTTTCAGGCCTTTTGTTCATAGAGATGTTATGAGTTGTGCTTGACTCAAAGGCAATCAACAACAACAACAACAACAACA